GGTGTTCTGAATGAAGCTTTCGTAGATTAGGCCCAGGGCTTCATGACTTTTACGTCCTATGCTTGACGGCGAACGGGTTCGCGTTCTTACCACGCATTGACACGGTACGCTTCGGCCAATGGCCGTTTGGTGGACTGGGGAAGAACCCATCGAGAGTAGGACTTCAGGGGCAGGTTTCATGAGCCTTGCTTTTTGATGAGCCTGCCCGAATCAATCCTAATCAAGAGTGATCAACGTGGAAAAGCATGTTCGGGTAGTTAGCCGACCGAACGTGCCATCAAGACGGGCTCTCGAGCGCAACGTTGGTAAAGGTTGTCCGCATGGCAGTGTATGGCTATCAAGTTCAAACACGGTCGAATGTGACAAAGACTATTAATTGCCTGAGGACCGCCCGACGCTTCTGTGGCTTCGTGAAGAATTCGGCATTCTTGCCGACAGCGTGTCTGAGGCTTGGCATTATCTATGCATGATGACAGACCTCCTTTAACTGGGGCTTTTCACTCAATCTGCTGCTTGCCTTGGCTTTGCGGGGACAGGCTCATGTGTTGTCCCTTCATGAGCTATGTGTGCATTATACTATCTTATATTCTAGCATGTTCTATAATATATTATATCATATCATAGATAGAGTATCCCGTCGCAACTCCGCTTTTTGCGGCCCTTGCCCTTCTTGCTGTCATGTTTGCTAGACGGCAGCCAAGGACAAGTCTCCTGTGGCTTCGCTCGGCGTCTGTCCGTTCCTGATTTCTGGGACAACATTTTTTCACATCGTTTGTATACTTGGAGATAGGGGTTCACCCATCAATAGGTACAGATACCCAGAGAACCCAATACCCCTTAATTCAGGAATATACCTCAAATCACAATGTTAATCCCCTTTAATTTAAGGTATATTCCTTAATAAGGGGTATGGGGTTCTCTGGGTATGGAGCAATGCGTGTAAGCCCAGGCTGGACGAGCCACAGACGCTGCAAGCACTGACGCGGTTCGTTTGTGCTGCTGCATGACGGCTGATGCAGGCCGCGACAGTCTGCTCCGTTCGGGCTTACCGAGATATGAGGGTTTCCGAAAATAGGGGTACCCTAAATAGTAGGACCCTTATTATGAGGACCCCCAAATAAGGTACCCTAGTTTTCGAAAACTCCCATATACCAGAAAGGAGATTGTAAGATTGAGATTTCCATGTTGGCATTGGCCTGGCGGCCTGGCTGCTGTCTTCCAGTTTCTCGTCCCCTTTTTCCTTGTATTTGCAGGCAGCTTCCCTTCATGTATCGCATCCACCGATTATGCCTGCGATCCCCGGTTCTGTATGATCCCGAGTCTGCCTTCGGGCAGGGGCTTGATTACCGCTCGGCAGCTAGGACTCTAGGCGCTGACAGTCTTGCAAAGCCGTGATGGCTGCTCAGGAGTCTCGGTTGTCTCAATTTTAACATTGTTGTGAGCCAGCTTTGACACGCAGGGTTTGAATTCAGGGCCCGGCGGTTGCTGGGTTGGATCCAGTCAACCTGTGTGTGTGTGTGTCGGGCGCTCAATGTGCAGACGGTAAACTTCGCAAAGCCCAAGATCCCCGCGCAACCAAGACACAGACCACCGCATCCCATGACTCCGCAACCTGGAGCATCCCCACCCCCTGAGTCCCAAAACCATCCACCACCATGTACCCTGCAGCCTAAAGCCCGAAACACCAAGGCCCTAAACCCCTCAACCCCGAAGCCCTACGCCGCAAGGCCCTAGGCCCGATCACGTTATAGCGCATTAGATTAAGTTGTAGTATGTTACCATGATAATATCAGATTACATTATGTATTACATTGCTCTACGTTATATTGTAGTGTTATTACGCTATATTTTTTCTGTTAGAGATCGTTCCATTACCTTACCCTGCTTGCCAGGCCATGAGCTCGGACTTTGACAGCGCCAAGATCCCGCCTCAACAAGGTGCCTCCCGCTGTGAAGCCGACGAGCGCTGCACAGGGGCCACTTCCCTGACAGACGTCAAGAAGCAGTTTAGGGGTTTAGGGGGAGGGGGTGTATTACAGTTTAGGGGTTAGGGGTATTTTACGGTGGGTTTAGGGGTATGTTGCATTTTAGGGTTTAGGGGGCATATTGCAGTTTAGGGTTTAAGGGCTGTACTACAGTTTAGCGTTCATGGGGTGTATTGCAGTTTAGGGTTTAGGGCGTATATTCAATTTGGAGTTTAAGGGTTATATGACAGCCTATGGTTTCAGGGGTAGTTTCTGATTGAGGGTTTAGGGGGTATATTGCAGTTTAGGGTTCAGGGGGTAAAGGACATTTTAGGGTTTAGGGGGTATATTGCAGTTTAGGGTTTAGGGGTATGTTGCAGTTTAGGGTTTAGGCGGTTCATATTGCAGTTCAGGGTTTAGGGGTGTATTACAGTTTAGGGTTTAGGGGCATGTCGCAGTTTAGGGTTTAGGGGGCATTTTGCAGTTCAGGGTTTAGGGGTGTATTACAGTTTTAGGGTTTAGGTGGTGTATTACAGTTTAGGGTTTAGGAGGTATATTGCACTGTCGTGTTTAGGGGGTATATTACAGTATAGGCATATTCAAGCGCCATAATATTTGCACTTGTTCAATGTAGCGTTTATACCAAGGTTGTCGGTGAGTGCTTATAGGGCTCAATACTTCTCGGAATCTCGAATAGAGGGGTCGGAACACTTAGCATTAGTGGCCCCCTATAGTCCTGATGTTGTTAGAGAGAACGCTCAAGGTTCTTTGCCCAGAACTCTAAAGCCCGAATGCCGATTGCCGAAAATGGAAGGGTCGGTCAGGGGTGGCCCAGCCAATTTTTAGGAGCTTTGAGCTTTGGGATTCGCGTCCAACAGACCTTCCCCTGGCTCGTACAGACAGAGTGTATTTCTTGCCAGCCTTTGTCTGGAACCGCGGTCGGCTTGGACAATCGATAAGATTTCGAAAGCCTTATGAAGCTTTCGCGGGGCTTCTCTTCATACGTTTTTGATGGTGTCTAGAGTTGCCATGACCCGCCCATCAAGAGAATGTGTACGCGGGATAGCCGTGTGGGAATGTGCAAGCTGACAAACGGGCTTTCAAAGAGATTGGTTTACTGACAGCTGCCTCTTTTTCGGCAGCGACCATTTTCGTACTTCTGTCGTTTGCGTGAGTTACCCAGACGTTGATGACACAGCGTCTCGGCGCCGGGTACTTTCCTGCTTTTTCATTGATTCTTAAGGCTGCTTGGCCAAAAGACCGAGCGCCCGGCTTCAAGAGAACTCTTGAAGCCGTTGCTTCGAGCAGACTCACTTCAATAAAAGTCTTGAAGTTGCTGCTCGGAAGCTGTGGCCTTCACAGGAAATTGATGCCATGCAAAGGGACGTCCTGCACTGGTTCAAGATTGGCGGGAGCCTCCTGTGCCAGAGGAGGGTTAGTCTGAGTATGAACGAAATAACCAGCAGCCGCATGAGTTATGATGCCCTACCAAATGCTTAAGAAGCAGGGCTACGCACAATTTTATATGGGAAGGGAGACACAGATAGTTAGCTAACGGTAGATACACGCGGGCATAATTGTATGTGGGGCAAGATCTATGAGCGACTGTGTGTTTCTATGAAGATACGCAGTCCTCGTTGTCTATGCCTATGTATCCACAGACCTTTACAAATTCGATCTCTATCCCAATCTTTATCTCGATCAACCAATCATTTGATCAACCCATCTATCTCCATGTTGGTCGAGTGTGCACATACGTATGTATGCACATAGAGCACATACTTGTAGACATATAATGGCATAGTGCAGGCATGCTCTCATTCATGCATGGATGCATGTATGCAGAACTACATCCATATTGCATGCGCGAGTCAATTACATCTTAGGCAAGCAACTTAGCTGGGGCAGGACGACTGCAACCTCTACACTCTGTATCGAGTGGACACGTTGTTACTACCCTTTGCGCCCACTGTTGGGTCTGGTCGAAGGAAGAGATGACAGCCAGGAAGCATGTGATGCACGTCTTGGAAGTGGAAGATTCATCAAGTTGCCAAGCCTCATCTCTTCCCACAAATCCGGTTTTGGTCGCATCCCAGCATCTTTAACTTTGTGATGCGAGCTGAGGACCTTCAATTTTGGGGTCCCCTCTTTCCCTCTGTGTGGGATAGACTTCTGAGCTTAACGTTTGCGGCGCAACTGCAACAGTCGTCTTGCTTCGGAAACTTCCTTGCTGCAGCAGCTGTAGCACTGGTATCAGAATATAATATATATATATATGTATGTATGTAAATACATATAAATATAAATATAAATATAAATATAAATAAATAAATAAATATAAATAAATATATGTATATATATATATATATTCATTCATATAATATGTTTGGTAGATGGTATAAAAAAGTGAATTGTAGCGCACGCCGAAATAACATGTTGTCCCGTCACTTAGTGGTTAGAGTGAGTCGGGCTTTTGTTTGGTTCATGCGGGATGTTCCAAGTCAGTCCCTTACCACCCGCCAAGTGCAGCCCGAGTCATGAGCCCGAAGCTTCAAGCCCAGAAACCATGGGCTTAGGGTTTAGGGTTTAGGGGTTTCAAAGGAACTACCGTTTCTCACTTCAGTTCTGGCACTGGGATCGTACAGATCTTCACATTTTTGAGGCCAATATCGGAAACCGACGCGGCAAACCCTCAACGCCCTAAACGCTCTTGTCCTAAACGTAGATCCCTTGGAGTATCTTGGAGTCATGAGCCGCTCAAGCCCTCAACTTTGACCCCAAGGTGCCCGAAATCTCCATTCCTGAGTTGCAGGGGTTCAGGTTTTGTGGGTTTCAGGGTTTAGGGTTTAAGGTTCAGGTTGGCTATCATCTGCATGTTTCAGGGGCGCCGAGCTACTCGTCAGCGGCTCCTTTGCAGACGACTGCATCTGCAGTGGGCTCGTGCTTCGCACCCAGCAAGCCTGCAAGTACCGAAGGTGCATGGTTTTGGCCTTAATGTGGCTCAGCTGTACTTGGTATGTGCCAACCGAACATGAGGTTCTTCAAAGCCACGAAGGCAAGGGCAGCAAGCGAACGGCTGGATCAGAATTTCAACAGTGATGTGAGCTTTGCGGAAGGTCCACGGAACTCTTGGGCTCAGCTTTCAAACTTCAAGTCGTGCAGGTTGTTGCTGAATGGCTGCTGCTCCTCCTGTCCTGGATGTACGAGCATGCCGGAGACACGGACGTCCAGCCGTGTGCCGACTTTCAGAAGGGGATCCGGATGAACCGTATACCGTATACCCTAAGTTCGGCGTGTGTATTGAGCCTTGCAGATCAACAGCGGCAAACTTGAGCTTTCACTGCCGGAGTATCGGCTTAAATGATAAGGTCGAGCTCTCTTGGAAGTCATGCTTTTTTGTGTTGGTCTCGCTCGGCTGATGCATGCATGAGATGAGCTTCATTTGAGGGTCACGTGAAGGAAAGCGCTTTTGTTCAACATTTTTGCTTGAGGGTCTAGTGTGTCAGCAGCTGAAACTCTTCAACTAAAGGGCACAGGAATTCGACAGAACTCTCAGTCTTTAGAGTCCAAAGTTTTATTTGTGAACCTGGCTGGGTTCGCCAGGTTCTCCGACTAGTTCGTTCAGCTCTTCAGAGAACTGCTTCACACATGGTTAGTTGGTCGAATGCTTGATGTTCAACACATAAGGAGGCGGGCGCGTGACGATCGTTATCGGTTTTATGGAGGATGGGGCGGCACGGTAGTAGGTTCACGGTTCAAGGTCTTGCTTGTTTGAGTCGTTTGAGTGTTCCAACTTCAGTTGTACAGAATCTCAGAATACATTGGTTGAAACGGCTAACTTCGAAGGCTGAGTAGGCGATGGTGTCAAGCGTTCAGGCTTCCGGCCTATGGTATCTGACGAAACAAAGGGTTTGCCTGGACTTGTCGGGCTGGCGAACATTTTCTGCGAGTGGGTCCGTCGAGATTTTGAAGCACAGTGCGTTCGGGCTGGCATGTTTGTAAACCGGTTCAGGTTGGACCTGGTCATTGATGAGATTACGGTTTAGGGTTTAGGGAGTTTAGGGTTTAACGGCCGAGGTTGAGAAGTTGTACGTTCGAGCGGGCAAGGTCCAGCATTGCTGAAATCTTCAAGCTTGTGAACAGGTGATTCGTCGAAAAATGTTTGTTTTAAGTTGCCGTATCGGGGCTTAGGCTGTCGTACCGGGATTGCAACTAAAAGGCATTTTCAGATCGAGCACTTGCCGTCTGCAGCCTTTAAGCTGCAGATGTGTCTGCATGTCGTTACGTCGAGCTTTTGTAAGAATGGGTGACTTGGCGACAGTTGAGCCGCACCATGGCGCGGAACGTTTACGGCCGAGTGTTTTTGGATGCTCAGTTGGAAGACGGGGTAAGAGCTGTGGGTTGAATGCATGCAGTTGAAGTTTCGAACGACGAGCTCCTTGGGCTTTGCAGTTCAAGGGCGCAGTGTATGGGTCAGGCCTGCTTGAGGGCTGCTAGCAGTGTTGAACGTCTGTTCGAAGGTCAGAAACCTTCAAAGCACTTCTAGTTTGGAGCCCTTCCCGTTCGCTCCAGGCTTCCCACCCTAAGCTCTGAAACATGGGCTAAACGCTTCCGGCATTAGCTTGAGCACGCGCTGTGGTGCAACTTTCATGGCTAAGGCAAGATTTGGGAACTGGGGTAAGTTGAGTTTTTGAACTGTTGGTTGGTAGTAGTGTACGAACAGGCCAAACCTTGATTGTTTGGGGGGTGCACTTTTCCGGTCAAATGGGCCTCGCGGCAGAGCGCACGACTCTGGCGGAACCAGGGGCTCAGAAGCCTTGGTGCCCGAAGCCCCCGTTAGCCAAGATCCTAAACCCTAAGCGCTAAATCCAAAAGCCTAAACCCCTCCACCCAAAACCAGAAAGCCTGTCAAGATCCTGAACCAATGACCTGGGATCTACAAAGAGGTCTACACCCACGACCAGCAAGCTTTCAGCGCGTTCCTCGCAGGACGCCCGGACGAGGCCTGGGAGGACTTAGGATTTCGGATTTGAGGTTCAGGGTGAAGGGTTGCGGGTTTAGACGTTAAGTTTCTAATTTAAGGTTTTCATTTAGTGGATTTGGGGTTAGGGTTGTTGCTCAGGGCTGTGGATTCAGGGTTTAGGGTCGTCGTCATGGAAGTCGAAGTCGAAAGTTAGCTAGTTACTTAGTGAGTGAGTGAGTTAATTAGTTAGTCAGATAGTTGCTAGTAGTAGGAGTGGTGGTGATAGTAGCAGCAGCAGCAGTACCAGCGGCAGCACCACCACCAGCACCACGAGCAGCAGCAGTGCTGAGCCGTGATGTACCAGCAGTATCAGTCGTCGCGGTAGTAGTGGTGACTCCGGAGTAGTAAGACAAGAGCTGAGGCAATAGGGTTTGACAGGGTTTGCGAGAGACAAAGTAGTCACAGCTGCAAAGCAGTGGCGGTAATCGTTGTGTTTTCAAGCAGCATGAGTCATGGCAAACAAGAGCATTGCTACGAGTAGTCTTTGCAAACTTCACTCCTTCCAATCTTCTGTCTACTTTCCGCCGGGCAAGAGTGCCAGCGCAGCAGATCCAGTTCAAGCCGCCTGCCAGGACAATGCCACGTCGCCAGAATCGATTTCGTCATCCAAGCTTTTCAAGATGTGCCCGAACTAGACTTCAGACGTCGTTCTTGGATTTTTTTTCGTTCTGCGTGCCACGGCGACACTGCAAAACTGACGAGTGCATCCTGTAGCCGGTAGCCTTGCAGAAGGTCAGTTCCACGACTATCTAAGGCCATCTGAGGCCCTGTTTGGATTTTCTTGTATTTTCACTGGGTATGAAGGCACCTATACATGATACAAGTAGCACCGAACTCGAGTTCCCTTTGACAGCAGCCTTTGAAGATTTGCCTGGTCTGAGCTTTGTCTTTCGGGCTTGTGAGTTGGCTTAGATAGGGGTGCAGGCTGTAGTCTCATTTTGATGCAGGTACCTCCGTCCAAGGGTCCCCCGATGGGCATTGCTGGATCCGGTGACAGAGTGGCCTTGCTCGAATGTGTTCGAAAATCTGATGACCTATTTCGTTGCAGGGTATTTGTTTCAATCTTTCGGTAGTGCGTTCTGTTGTAATCTGCCCGAACAATGTTCCAGAAGACCGCAAATGCCACAAAACCACAGAAGTTGTCGTACTATTAAAGCCACACTTGCATTCTACATATCCAGTGCCTGCAGAGCAGAGCAGAGCAGGGCAGAGAGCGAGAGAGAGAGAGAAAGAGGTGAGAGGAAGAGAGGCAAGCAAGAGAGACAGAGAGAGAGANNGAGAGCGAGGGAGGGAGGGAGGGAGGAGGGAGGGAGGGGGAGAATGACAAGGTTTGCATCCGCGCGTGTCCTCAACACCACGGGATGGACAGGGGATCTGGCATCGCACTCGGCTGTTAAGGGGAAATTTGCATACGAAGACAAAGCGGGATGAGCTTGTCGGAAAGTTGGTGAGGGATTCTTTTAGCAAGGGAGCTGTGTGCACATCTCCTTGTGCTTCTCTGCTGCCGTTGGTTCCCTGTGCAGCTTCCAAGACGGCTGTTGGCCTTTTTGTAACGCACCCCTTGGTGGCCCAGGACAAGATGATCGTTTTTCACTTCTTGCATGGTGACTCAGAGGCGCTGCGCAGGGGACACAAATCCAGAAATCCTTCGTAAGCTCGCAGGCTTGGTTCAGAGTTGTTGCTGCCTAAGTAGGCTCACTGTGGCCACTAGGTATCATCCACCCAGCAACCTATCGAGCTGATCACTTCATGCATGCGGGATCATCACACCTAGGTCTTCTCTACGACAGCAGGGCAGCAAATGGTGAGAACATCGCTGAAGCCTACCAGCTCATCGGGTGCTTTTGTCGGCTAGGGCTCGGCTGCATTCGCAGGTCAACCGGGACCACACCGCCTACGGTTGGAACGCCCAGTCGGGCTACAGTGGCGGGACAGCAGGGAATGAAATAAAGGCCGCCGGTCTTGCCTGGCAGCTGCTTTTCTGCCAGGACAGCCTTGCCACTTCTGGACATCTTTTACAACCAAACGGACACGCGAGCCGCCTGTCCTGCCCATGTTGCCTTATGCGACCCTTTGGCATCATTTTGCGGGAAAGCTCAGGTCTACACGGAGCCTCTGAAGCCCTCAGAGTTCAACTCGGAGCTGCAGCAGGTTTGGATCCGGGTGGCTTTCCAGACCTTCAGTGCTTTCGTGCACTCCACCACGTGAGTTCAACGAGGCGCTGATGGCCTCACGACGACCCTTTCGCCCGAAAGAGACGCTTGGCTACGGACACAATCAGAGCTTGTGCACATTTGTCGACTCACGTGCTTCTAGTGTCAATTCCCAACAATCTAAGGATGCTGCATTGCGGTGTGTTGCAGCCGGAAGCTCACAGCAGACCGGGGCTTCGGAATGGTCGCAAGTTCAGATCAAAGCATTTTCATGAGCCGCTGGGGGATGTAAGATTCGAGCTTCCGCTGAGTAAGGCTGCCCGCTTTAGGCAGCGCGCAAGCTTGCATGGGAATGTTGAGAGGTTCACTCAGCTTTCACGCCTTGCACACTGAACGCATACCAGTTGCCAGCATTACCATTTTTTGGTCAGGAAGTTCAAAGACTGAGAACAATCGTGGCAAACAATGGCGATGTTTGCCACAACATTGCACTTTGCTGTGCAGCGTCCTGCTGTTCTCGTGAGTTGTAGCTTCCATGCGCCCGAGGTTGAATCCGTACTCGCCTGGGCGCCAGTCTGCCGACGGATGAGCCGGCACAAAAGAGCGCCAGTAATCAGTAAGGGATTCGGATTGGGTGCTCTCCGCTACTATTCTTCCTCTTCCTCTTCCTCTTCCTCTTCCTCTTCCTCTTCCTCTTCCTCTTCCTCTTACTACTACTACTCCTCCTCCTCCTCCTCCTCCTGCTGCTGCTGCTGCTGCTGCTACGACTACTGCTACTACTGCGACGACGACTACTGCAACTAGTACTAGTTCTATCACCAGTACTCTCCTGTTATTGCGGTACCGTCAACATTACAGTCATCATCGCTGTTGTCATAGTCAAGACGATGATGATCACTGCAGTAATTAGTGATAGCATCGCAGTTGCTTTTTAGGAGTATATATACGGTTCAATGCGACAGGCTTGCAGTATCAGGGAAGAGCCTTATCTCGAGGAGATAGGTTCCTGAGCCAGATTCAGATCTAATGTGTTGGCAGATTTCACGGCAGATATTCAGCTTACAATCAGTGTGTCAGTGGTTGTGTGCATGTGCATGCAGGCAGCCCTTGCAAAAGCGCACGTGCACGAGCACACATACACAAACTTCACAGACAGGAACATACTCAAACATATGGTGCCTTAGATGTGTGGTATGAAATGCCTTCTGCCCGGCCTGGCTCCAGTTTTTGGGGGGAGTTTGGGGAGTGGGGAGTTCTCTGCCCCCGGACCTGGCTCCTGTGTTTCTTCGATCAGGCTGGGACCCTGCAGGGATTTTGTTGAAAAATTCGGGCCCTTGGGGGCCTTGGGCGGGATGGGAGGGGTGTGCGACACGTAGTTCAAGTAGCGGCCCACTGCTGCGAGGTTGCAGCTTCGGTCTGTTCTTTTCCCTGATCTCAGCTGTCCTTTACAGCGTTGGCATGGTAAACTTGGAGGTCTGCAGGACAGTCCTGAGGGTTCGGTTTTGTGAAACCCGAGATTAGGCGAAAGGGTCCAGATTCCGAGGCTCACAGGCTTTGTGGGTTTCAACATTGCAGCGCTTTTGTGGTTATGAATCGTAAGCAACCTCCGTACATACTGCAATTGTGATGCAAGGTGTGACGAGTTCACTTCCAGACGACGCCGCCTTGGTGCCGAGAGCGGCGCCACAGGCATCAGCCAGGGCATTTGTGATAGTAGTGTATCACATTATGTAATCTCACGTTTTGCAGCTGTGATTTGGGAACAGGCGCCGCCTGGTTCCATATCTTTCCGAGCAAACCGAACGTGGAGCTGCTGGCTGAATGGCGTGGCTTCTGGCATGTGGTCGCAAGTTCGGATTGAACTGCCATTGTCTGTGTTTTGATCCTGTCGTTCATGTGCCTGGAAACTGGCAACCCATTCTTTGGTATCGCCAGATTCAAGAACACCACAAGATGGACGTTGTCCAATGCCAGGGTCTCAGTTCGCAACTGGTTGCGACAATCGCCTCTCGTGTGAACCACCTAGCAGATATCCCTTTCTGCTTTCATAGTCCCGTTCAGGTTTTACCGGTTCTCTTTGTGCTGCTTGTCATCGTGGCGATTTGGCACCTTGGCTGGATGCAATGTCGGCTTACCGGATTCCTCTAGGGCGACTCTTTCTACCTCGAAATGGATTCGTGGTTTCAAGGTCATCCTATGTGTGGCTCCACCTCCTGAGACTGCTCCAGTTGGGCATGAAAGAGGCCGGTTGCCAACAGAAGTACTAGTAGTTGTTTTGCGACGGTTCTTGCTCATATTTACTCTTCTCCTCGTTGCCCCTCCTCAGCCGAAGCTGCTACGCCGACGCAGGTAGACGAAGGGATGAGGACGTCCGGCATGGCCGCAGTCTCGGCTTCCGACGGTTTGGGGTTCGGAGTTCCTCCCTGATCTCATTTCGTGCAGCCGCTCGGAAACAGAGCGTCCTGTCAGTGAGGTCCAGACCGTTCTCTCTCAGACCATGGTCGTGCTCATGATGATCTGTTTCTGGAGGGCTGCCCGGGCCTTACATCAGTACCTCGATGCTGGGAGCTCTATTGAATTCTTGCACCTTATGATTATCACCTCCTCTCTGTAGACACAGAGGTGATCGCAGCGACGGCTAAAAAAGCCGCAGGAGGTTTTTCACAACCGCCCTAAGCCCTGTACGGCACATCGACATATCGATGCTGCAGCCTATGTCTGATTCTCCGAACCTGTCAGCCCCATACATCCCCAAATCATTCTGCAACGAAAGCTCGGATACGGATTCCTGTTTGTGTGAGCCTAAGGTCTTTACAGATCCTGGATCGGTGTCTGGATCTCATGCTCACAGCTTTCGAGTAGATATGTGCTATGATCTGGATGTTCGTGGTGATATTTTGCCATTGCACTGTGGCGAGTTTGCAATGCAGTGTCGAAGCATGTGAGCGTAGTCGTGACGTGTGTTCTCGGCCCGTGAAGACAGCTCACATTTTGCGGACGATGTTGCAACAGATGTTGATGTTGGTATGCTGCCATAAGCCTTGTGCTAGCTTCGTCTCCTGTGATGTTTTTGTCAGTCAAGCAAGCCACTTTAAAAGCCTCGGGTTTCTTTTAACACCAGGGTACTACATTGACAAACACCGCGGTACTACGGCGGACTTGTCAGACCCTAGCAGTCCTTTAGCATTCTGCGCCATCCATTGACGAATATGTAGCAGAAAGGTAGCTGGAACATGGGCAAACAAATACTTAAGGTTACTGAAATATATGCAAATACTTATACAGCTTATATACGCAGAAACACCCACAAACAACTACAGCAACACACAAGCATGGAAACATACAAGCGTCCGAATCCTGCAGGTTTACATACAAGTGATTGGATTTGTACATGTAGACTATAAACATGTCGATGTATAGCTCTTTCAGGACATGTATATGTAAGTACATGTATCTATATGTTCAGGTATAAGTATGCAGATGTGTAGATATCAAGGTACATGCATATATAAGAAAAATGAGGCATATGCACCAGGTTTCTAAGCTGTGCGTACCGTGACCTCGGGAGCCAGTCTTCTGAATGAGCTTCGGGAATCGCATATCGCATTGACCTGCAGAAGCTGTTCCGCCTAGAAGTTGCAGCCAACGTCAAGATTGTTTGCTGACCAGAATCAGGCCAGACACAGAGGAATGGCTGCCCGAGACACACAGGCGGTTTGTGGGAAGTTTCTGTAGACAATCCCAGGGCAGACACTGCCGCAACGACGGCAAACACACGAAACCAGGACACCAATAGCAACAGCACCGCCACTGCCACCGACACCAACGTCACAAGTACCACCAACAGCACCACCAGCAACACCACCACCAGTATCAACGCCACCAACATCACCAGCATCACCAACACCACCAGCATCACCAACACCACCAGCATCACCACCACCAGCACCACCGTCACCACCACCACCGCCGCCACCGCCACCGCCACCACCACCACCACCACCAGCAGCACCAGCAGCACCAGCAGCACCAGCACCACCAGCACCAGCACCAGCAGCACCAGCACCAGCAGCAGCAGCACCAGCAGCACCAGCACCACCAGCACCAGCAGCACCAGCACCAGCACCAGCACCAGCACCAGCACCAGCA